CAGAATAAACCTATTGCATCCATTCTCAACATAAGTTCTTGATGTGATATTATCGAATGCTCCTGGATCCACACCTCCATCGTGCATGTAAATCAGAGGTGCCGAACCAGCCCAAGCTCTGAAAGTTTGATTTTTTTTTAGTTTGGATACTGTAGATCAGGAAGTTCCTAGCATTTTGTTAGTTGGAAATTTGTTGATAGCTATGAAAATTCTTGAGATACAAAGCTTTGAAGCTAGCTTAAAATTAGTCCATTGCTTCCTGATTCATAGTTCTTTTGGGTTTGTTTAAAGGCGCATAACTCAAAAACCTAACTTTGGTTATCAGTGATTATTAATGCTCTGTATCTGTGCTAAGATTGTCATAAATATTTTTCTGTTTCTTGTGAATCATCTTCAATTAATAAGCTTATCAGGGAATCGTCTTCAAAATTTTAATAGCTTACAGTTAATGATAATTGATAAGAAAGAGTTCCTGTTTTTTATGACTTTTTATTTGTAATTCTCATCATCGTAAAAACCGCTAAAAAGTTTCCGGAAGGTTCAAGGTCATTTCAACCTAAAAAGAGCCAAAAAGTCACTTTTAATTTTTTTTAGTTTGGATACTGTAGATCATAAAATCCCTCTAGCTAATAAAGATGTTGAGATACAAAGCTTAGAAACTAGCTTAAAACTAAACCCTTGGTTCTGATTCATAGTCCTTTTGGTGTCTGTTTAAAGGCGCATAACTCGAAAACCAAAAGATTACTAAAAATTTGTTATCAGTGATTGTTAATGCCCATCGTCATTTTGTGTAAAAAACTACATTTTTTTACTTGTAACTCAATGATTCATCACCATACGCTTATCAGGGAAATTAATACGCTTATCAGGGAATCATCGTTAATGGCTGGATGATCACTGATAAAGACTTTTTACGTGATTTTCATCACGGGAGAAGTAGCTAAAACTAGAAGAAGTTTCTAGAAGGTGTTTTCAGCCAAAAAGTTACTTACCCCTTGACAATATGTGGATACTTTTGCCTAAACCAAGCGGACAGCATTC